TCTTTTAATGCGTAACGTGGGAGGGTCAGATACCTGGGACTTGACCACCATCTCGGCGTGGGGGTGTCTTTTGACTAAGGTAGAGTTGACATCGGCCACGACGTCAACTCGTTGCCTTGGGCGCAACTCTCGGCTTTGCTTTGAATTCAAATAGGCATCAGAAAGGAAATTGACATGGCCAAAATCGATCACCATAGCCAGCAACGCTTGATGCTCGCGAGCCCACCCACAAGTGCCGTGGTTCATCACGCCCGTCTCTCCCTGCCAGTTAGACTCGCGCTCTCATGTCAGCGGGCGGACGACATGGAATGACAATTCCGGCGCGGTCTAGGATGGCAGCATGAAACAGTTAGTGTTCACTCTTGTTATCGCGACAAATATGGTACCGCCGTACTGATTGAGCCTCGTAGAGTGGCAGTCGTGGGCATCATTTCCCTGACAAGATGCTTAATAGAGTGAGGGCCATGATCCCGGTACGCGAATAAGCTTGGGCAGAGTCGCATCGGCCCAATCACATACCCCTCAACGGTATGCGCAGCCTCAGCGAGAGTCATGCCTTGCCAATCTCTAATCAAACCATATTGAACTCGCTTTGAGGAGTGACGAAGCTAGGAAACCTTACGGTTCCGAACAAGCCGCATGATGCCTGTTCGACCCAGTTCACCACTGGCTGCTGCCGGCAGCCTGGCATGTGTCGTGGTATATAGACCTCCGGATGGCTTCACCCAGATAGGATCGCGTCCTCAGTACAGGGCAGCTGTATCTACATCTAATATTTCAACCTTAGCAGTTGTGTCCACTCTTTCTGACCTCCAGCGACCCCTATCACCATGCATTTCCACCATTTGTCCCTTTGGGCTCTGGCCGCCTCGTCTGTGCAGGCCGTACCCCCCGCCCCCGAGATCAACGTCGATGTGCTCATCATTGGCGGTGGCGCCACCGGCGCATATGCTGCTACTCGACTCCGTGATCAGGCAAGAAGGTGCTGGTCGTAGAGAGCGACAAGCAGCTGGGCGGCACGTCGATACCTTCACAGACCAAGCCACGGGTGCGCCCATCGACTAGGCGTCGAGGCCTACATCCTGAACAATCAGACGCAGAACTTCTTTGGTCGGGTTCAACGTCGCCCTCAACGTCTCGGCGCAGTCGCCTTTTCCCTACCACGCTTGTCGACTTCAAGACGGGGTTTGTCGTCCCGAATGCCACGCCCACAAACATTCTGTCGCTCCTCGGTCCCATTGGCAACTACATCGCAGCGGTGTCACCCTACACGGGCATCGCTCAGGGCTACTATGACATTCCCCAGCCCGTCGACCCTCAGCTCCTCGAGCCGTTTTCCAAATTTGTGGCCCGTAACAACATTACGGCCGAGATGATGCAGCTTATCTGGCAGTTCGCCCACGGCGTCGGCAACCTGTTCGACACGCCGACGCTCTACGTGCTCCAGAGCTTTGGCCTGCCGCACGTCCTCGGCCTCACGGCCGGCTACGTGTACTCGCCCGCCGGCAACCAGCTCCTGTACGACCGCGTCGCCGCCTTCCTCGGCAAAGACGTTCTCTACTCGAGCCGCGTCGTGTCGTCGACGCGCACAACGTCCGGCGTGACGGCCGTCGTCCAGGGGCGGTGCGGCACCCGCACCATCCGCGCCAAAAAGCTCCTCATCACGATCCCGCCGACCCCCAGCAACCTGGCCGCCTTCGACCTCGACAACAACGAGAAGAAGCTCTTTGCCCAGTTCAGCGACATTCCCTACCACGTCGGCATCATCCGCAAGAGCAGCATGCCGGACCTGACCAACTTTTACAACGTCGACCTCCAGTCGCCGACCCTGCTGCCGAGCTCGCCCTTTGTCTTCCGCTTCGAAACGCCCGGCGTGCCGGGCTACCAGACGGTCAAGGTCATCGGTGAGCCGAGCAACGCCAAGGCCCGCACCCTCGCCCTGACGGCCGCCAAGACGGTCGGCAACGCCGTCAGCGGCTCGCCCGGCAACCCCGACACGGCCGTCTGGGGCCAGCACAAGGACCTCGGCCTGCACGTCCCCATCGAAGCCGTCGCCGACGGCTTCTACTCCAAGCTGTACGACCTGCAGGGCGGCAGGAACACCTGGTTCACCGGCAATGCCTGGTGCTCCGACTACTCGCCTCTGCTGTGGGCGTACACGGACGAGAGAATTCTGCCTAACCTTCTTTGAGGGGGCGAGAGAGAGAGAGAGAGAGAGGCATGAGTTTGAGGGAGTTTCCAGCAGGGGTTTAATTCACTATTCATGATGGGCAGCGATCATGTGCATTGTTTTACGAGCCTTGCATGCGGACAGTACTTGGAACTGAATAATACTGCCTTGTCGCCCTCCTTTGGAACATGTGGATCGTGCTTCGGTGACGAGACTTGCGGTGCACGATGAAGTGAGTTGTTTGTTCACTTCATGCGATGAAACGCAGGCTCTATGCCTGGGAGTGGCAAGGTGGCAGTGTGATATCGTTTGACAAGATCGCCCGCCCAGTGGACGGCTATTGCATGCCATCGCTGCATTAGTGTCTCCCTTTCCATTGCTGTGGAGAGTTTCGGTATTTTCCGCTCTTCTCGTATAAAACATCACCCTTGACAAGATAGCCCAGCTGGTCATTGTCGTACTCTGGGTGGAGGCCATGAACCTTGCGGAAACCTTTCTAGGTTTTTGGTTGCCCCTTTCGTTGATTGAGAGAAGCACACAATATTACGAGGTGCAGGGATAACTCACTAGAGTACGCGAATGGTATGAAGGTGTCTTGCCGAGGCGTGAACAGAGAGAAGGTCTTCCGCAGCGTTGCCGCCACAGCGATCTCTCAACATACGGGAGAGGATTTCCTGAACTTGGGCTTTCGGCGGTCCTCGTGTCCAGGAGGGCCCTTTAGTATCGTATTTCAGGGTCCGCCAGCCCTCCGCGGATGCCTCCCAACAGACTCGCCCCCACAACGGATTCTGACAGGACGCGAGGGAACTATAAGACCAGCGGGGGACCGCCCGGCGTTTTATCGCAGAAGCTTGGAGGACAAGACCGACAGCAGCGAGGAACCCTTTATCAGGAAGGCCAATGGACTAGAGTGTAAGCAAGGGGCCTCAAGGCATCAATTATTCCACCCACCTAGAGAGCCCTCAAGACGAACAGTTGATCCCTTCACTCTTTGTCTCTGAAGAATCCCAGTGAGAGAGGGTGTTTTGCGCTACTGAAGCAATTGGAATATAAATTAAAAGGAAACAAGTAGATGTTTTCTCTGGCTTGATTTATGCCAACGTCAGTGCTAGGGTGGACGTATGCGTGTCAGGACCTGGAGGAGGTATAAGACTAACAGGGGATCGCCTATCATTTAATCGCAAGAGCTAAGGAGAGAGGACCGAGCATAGCAAGGGAATAGTTATAAGAAAGGTTAATAGACGGAGATTTTAGAGAAAGATTATCGATTATTCTATCTTCCTAGCTACCACTTAGAGACTAATAATTAATCCCTTTACTTATTATATAAGATTCCTTAATATAATAATCGATCTACCCCTAAGGAGCGACGACTATTAAGATAATATATCGACTAAAGACGTATGGAATACTAGAAGATAAGCTATTATAGGATAGTATTACGACCTGGCAGCTTCCGGAGGGGGAACGCTATTAGAGGGTTAGGGTTGCTGTTTAGTAGAAGCTTAGGTTGTGACTCTGAGATAGTATAGTATCGTAAGGCGTTACGTACTCGTTATAATAAATATAAAGTAAGACTTAGATTAATTACTATCGTAAGAAAGAGTATATCTATAAATATAAGAATATCTATCCTTTTATATCTATTTATCTTTCTTATATTATTAAATAGTAAACTTAAATCAAATAGTTTGTTTATTAATTATTAATAATCCTTAATATTAAGATTATAGTATATTTATTAATAAATTAATTATTAACTTATAATTATATTCTAAATAAGCTATTATATAATCCTATTTAATAAGTCTATTCTTTATCTTATTATACTCTTTAATTATAATATTAATAATTTATAGATACTTTAATTCCTTAATTATTATATAATACTCCTCCTCTAAGCTAATATCCTAATAGCTATAAATAATAAGTTATAATTACTTATAATAGTTCCTTTTTTATTATCTTTATTAATTATAATAAAATATTAAATTATATTATAAAACGCTTATCTATTAAAACTAATTAAAGAAAACCGTTTATAGCTTTAATTAATTCTAAGAGCAAAGTTAAGATACTTTATACTAAGTACTTTAAATAATACCTTATATATAAGATTAATATAGATATATAGCGAGTAGTCTATATAACCCTTATTCTATAGATCTAGGCTATTATTATATAATAATAATATATTAAATTAAAATAAAAACTACTTATTATTATTAGAGGATAATAGGGTTACCTATTAATAAGTTCTAGCATTATAACTAGTTTTTCCGTAGACGCTATAGCTCCGTTTCTTTAGCGTAGCGTATATAGACGGAGCTAGATTTTATTACGTTTCCTCCTTTACCTAAGAATCTACCTCCCTCTAAGTAATCTAGTCCTAATCCTCGCCTAGAGTAAGGCTTCCTCTTTATCGGAGTTATATTTTTTTTAGCCCTATAGCGTTAGCTAAGGGTCGTATTCTCCTCTTAAAGTATTAGGATTTTAGACTTTTAAAGGGCGATCTAGTATCTATGAGAGCTCGACCGTCGCCCCAAGCTGTCCCATCATCTCAGACCCGATTCCGGGACGACAGTAAGCGGACAGAGCCAGGATGTTTACATCTGCATCATACTTGTTGCTGTGAGCAATTTTGGGAAAACTTACAGTCGAGGAGAAGGACGGAATGCAATGGGCCGGGACAGTGTGAGTACACCTCACCTGAGCAGAAACTGGCTGTCGGTGAAAGACGAAAATCCTTTGCCAAGAATGTGTCAACGAATCTGTTTCTGGCTGTCTGGGACCTGGCCGGTTCAGGCTGGTCAAAATGGCGCGACACCCAGTCCGCCACGAATTCCTCAACGACGGCGTCCCAAGGCTTCCCTCCCATGAAGCGTCGCCAGCATTACACAAAGCCAATTCGGTAGTGTGACGAGAAATTCATATTTTGAATAGCTATGTATCTGCCCAGGCCGAACAGTTTTCGCTGGCAACTTAAAGCTAGTCCTCCCGCGTGCGGAAAGCGCCTCGAGAACGGCTGAAACTTAACCAAGCCACCATGCATCTGTACATACATCACCAGCACCGCAATGCAGGCCAGGATTCTTGGCCTTGCGAGCTCCGTCGCGGAAGATAAAAGCATTCTAGCCATGTCCGGGAATGACCAGAGACGCCCTAATATGAAACACGGGGCCGTCATGCCTCCGGTTTCTTACCCCAGATGAAGTAGACGGGCATATATAGGTGAATGGCAGGGTTCTCAATGTCGTTCTTCACTCTGGCAATATGGACCTGGATCTCTTCCTGGCTCCAACCGCGGATGCGAGAGAAAATCCCGGGGGTATAGGAGTCGACGGCCTGCTGTTCCTCGATAAGGAAGCATCTACCAACTGACTTAAGGGTTAGGTCTTTTGGCCAGCCGCCGATTGGGACCTGAACGTGGGAGGCGACCGTTAGAGTCCTAAAGATATCGGATTCGCCGTGTAGAGGTATTGGAAGCATGTAACTTGTAAATCTTTTGCTCAACCTCGACAAACCCGGTAGCCTTGACCTTGTCCAGCCACTGAGGCGTCAAGTCAACAGGCTTTCCGAATTTAGCCGAACCCTCACAGATGTTGCTCATCCAGAATTGAGCGTCCTTTACTAGCTCGGCGGTAGCATCATCGGATAAGAAGCGGGGGTGGACTGTCTGCATCTCGAAGTAGCCTCCTGGGGCTAGATGCTCAAAGATCTGGCGAAGTAGTTTCTCATCGTCGGCGATGCATCCTCCCAGCTCGCGGGCGTGGATGTAGTTGAACTTCCCCGCGGTATCGAGCGTCCGAAGTGAGATAATAGCATTGCTATGATTGCCAAAGCCACCACGGCCGTCATCGCAGCGTTCGTGAGAAGGCCCGCCGAGACGTCGAGCATATGCAGCGAGCTTGTTTCTCGATGGGTGTCGAAGCTCAGAAGAAAAGTCGAAACGCAGCACAGAAGTATCACCATGACTTGACTCATATCATAGGACTGCTGTAGTCGCTTCAAGTCTAGTTCCAGAAATTAGCTTTTGTTATACTTGAAGGCGTCCACTTACGATGCACTCGCTCCATGATGAAGTGGACTGTGTGCATAAACTGTTGGCCCGAAATTAGCCAGCGTCACGGTAATCACCAGGGAGTCTTGGCTGTAAGTAGGGAGTTTTCAAGGACAATCTATAGGAAGTATCTATCGTTGCCTGGGTGCCATTTTAGGTTGTTTCGCGGGCAATCACGTCTAGAGACTCGACTATTTCTAGGCATTTTCAAAACCAACAGAATGATTTTGTCGCTAAACACTTTCACGGGGTTGTCCGTGTCGCTCGGGCCTCGGTTTAGTGCCCAAGCAGCTCCGCCTCAAGCAGCTCCGCCTCAAGCACGACGATCATCTCCGCCAAATGCTTCCGAATCTCCTCCGGGTCTTCATAACCATCATTGAAACTGTAAGTGAATCTCAAACGATCCGCAAATGTCAGGATATGTACCGAACTGAAACCCATGATTACGTCCAAGCCCTGCTTCACGTCAAGAACATTGATGCTGTTCTCGCCATGCTTGTACTCGCGCTGGATGAATTTCTCCACGACGCCCAAACTGCTCACGAATGCATCTTTCGCAATTGGCTTTTGGAGAGCCTCGGGCGCTAGCATGAGCTTAGCCAAGGACTGTGAGAGGGGCTCGCGGAACTCGAGAGCGCGAGGATTGCCTTTGTACGCCGTTGAATTGACGCGCCCAATCTCCCTGGCCATGTCCCAGAACGACATGGGTAGCGGAAGGTGGAAGGGATGAGCCGCATACCAGACATTTGCAGCATGCTGGCTCGTGTTGTACGACGCAGGGAGATAGTCCCGGAGATTATAGGCGATGGAACTCACGTACTCATCCTGTCTCGTGCTGGGGTCGGTATGGTGACTGATTGTCGCAATATAAGCTGCGTGGGCCGCAGAGGTAACTGTGACGCCTTTTCGCCGGCAGGCAGCAAAGAGTGCGGCGCTCTTGTCGGCGGTGAACGCGACGCTTATGTTACAGGCGCGGCCGATGGGTGCAAGGCCTGCCTTGTTCTCTGGCCCGATCCCTGGTGACGCATCAATGAATTTGGCGACGAGAGCGTCAGCCTCGCTCTGAAGCTCCCGTGATGCGTCCGGATGGCCCAGGATCTCTTTCATCGTTGGGTCCAGCCTGACGCCTTCCTCGCCGAACTTGATGTCCGGGGAAGGAGAGGCGAGCGCCTTAAGATACGCGTCCCAAAAAAGTAAGGCCCCGACGCCGTCAAAGTTGTAGTGAGACGTACGCAAGACAAGCTCCTGGGAGTTTGGAACATAGTACAGCGATGTTTCTTCGTTTATGGGGATATTTTTATATAGCCCGTCGGCGTCTTCGGCGTCACGGGCAACGAGGAATGTCTTGTCCAACCACTGTTCCAGAGCCTCTTCACTGACCGGGGTCTCGTAGATTTTGGTCGTGCCTTCAACAGTACTCGCTATTTGGGGCTGATCGTGGCGTAGCTGCTTCCAGGCATGTCTAAGCACCGGGATCGGATCGGCAAAGGGTAGCTCGACTTTGATCGCGCAGAAGATATTGAAGTGCTCACGGCCACCGCTCAAGCCGGCAGTGAGCGATGCTACGCCGACAAAGAAGTTTTCGTAGCCGCTCAGGGGACGCTCCCATCGAGTCTCTGATACTCGATTCCAAGGCATGCTAGCCTTCTTAGATCGAAGCTTCGGCTTGGAGTGAAGGAAGAGGTTATGCTAGAATAACAGGGATAGTAATGTGATCGAAGAAATGACTCGACGGCGTTGCAAAATCTGTCGACGTAGTACTCATATTCGGCCGACAGTAGCGACAGCCTCCATTTTGTAATCTGTCGCTCGTAGTAGGTACATGAACCTAAGGCGCCTGCCTAGTGCGTAATTTCCAAGGCGTGGTACGGTCCAGTGCTAAGTTACGTCACTCATTAGAGAAAAGGAGGGCTCGAATACCTGGAGACATTTGCCTCAATGGTCTATACGCGTACAGCTGCACCACAAGGCCCTTTCGTCGCACGGCCACTACGATGTTCTTTACTTAGCCGCTACCCGTGGTCTTTTTGCTTCGTTCATTTGGGCACCTCGCCTCTATTGGGCTGTTCTTTAAATATGATTGCACCAATGATTCGTTTGTCAGTACATTGAGCTGCATGGGTACTTCATCCATTCAGCATGTTCAAGGGTCTGGCGTGAATCCTAGAATTTCTTGCTAGCCAGGAGCAGGACCGTCTCGGCCAGGGTTATTTGCCCAAGGAGGGAAATTATGTCGACCGTTGCCATACTGAAGGCTTGTGCCACTGGCGATGTCCGGACCAAAAGGGCACCGAGGGTTCTGGTACAAGAACGAAATGGTCGAAGGACACAAGATTTTGAATGCTCTAGACGATGGCATGCCGGAAAGCGCCGGCCGACCTCGGTCTTTCTCAAATTCTGACATACATTGTGCTCTAGAAGAGCCTCCGATCATCTGCCGTGAATACCTATACTGAGGACTAAAATTGCAGACGGTCACGTTCTCCATGGAGATGACTTTGAGGAGTAGCAGTACATGCCCACTTGATGGACTCGGGCCACGGAGACCTCGTTATTGACAAGTCCGCAGTTAGTCGGCTGATTGTCCGCTACCCGTCTGGTTCGAGATGACTGGCTGACTGGTGACCCCCACAGAATTGTCAGTGCTCCTGCACCCTATCTCGGTCCACATTGTGTCTGTTCATGAGCTCGTCCTGCAACTCTAATTCCTGACAGCATGAAACGTCCCTCGTCTCCCTACTTTAGGGACACATTCACCGCCCAAGAAACCTGAAGATCGGAGTCGATTGGCACAATGGTAATGTCACCCAATGACCACGCCGAACGACGAGAAAGCTTATCATATCAGTATAGGGCTGCATTTAGATGACAGAGAGTGAGCGATCTGGACGGCGCTCGATAAGGTGGTAAAATCTTTTGCACAGTGGAGGAGAATGAAATTCTGGGGCAGTACAATGAGGCAAGTGCTGATCCTGACAACAATTCAGTCTATGCCATGCTGTGCCCTGCAGGCCCAAGCCCCGCGCCCCTCAGTACGAACCATAGGGCCTACGATGGGGGCCCTAATGGGACCTCAATTATCACTCGAAAGTCTTCAGCGTTCTTGGAGGCAGTCGAAAAGACAATGGGTAAAAAGTAAATCCAGGGGGTGTTTGCTTGCAGCTCCTGGGCTGCAGCGACCATCAAAGTAGTATCTGACGATGCTATGCGGCACCCCCTAATCTAACATAGCATAGCTTTGCATATCCTGAATGACGAAGAAACTTGAACTCGCGATCATTTACCCGCATTGACGTCACACCCGAAGTGGCCATTTCGTTTGGGGGCCAGACTGAAGACTGAACCAAAGGTCGACGACCCTCCCAATGGGCCCAGTGGAGCCAGAGGTGCCACTTTCATCGTCGGCACTCTGGCGGCATGCTTTCCGGTAAACGTCTCTCTTACAGCTATATTCTCTGTCAGTAGGCGTTCTATACATACACACACACACACACACATCTATTACGCATGGTGGCTAGTAAGCCAATAAGGCACTATCTGCTTCGAAGGCCTTAAATCAGACTCCTGCGCAAGCGTCCTCCTAGCTTGCTTTCAAGCGACCCTCTACCATCCGGATTGGCAGTTTAGCCGCCGGGCTGCTAGAAAGCATGGGCTACCCCTCGCAGGGCGCGGTGCCCGGCTCCTGGCCTCAAGGCCGCACGCAAGGCGATTGAGCATGGCAAGCGGCGAAGCTTTGGGGTTGCATAATTTAGCTGCGAGGATACTGACATCCGTCAACGATGGCACGCGCTTGGGAGTGTGTGGGTTCCACCTGCCAACCGAGACCAACTCCGGGTACAATTCCAGAAAGGGCCCCCCACACAAAGAGCTAGGCACCGTTGTTCCGCTAGGAAGCCATTCTGAACAGCTTCTGGTTCATAAGGGATGGCCCGGCCCGTAGCTCGCACGCCATCATTAGGTTACTTGACGGTTCCTGGAAGCTGTTGCAACACTGTAGCACTGGAATGTTGATGGCTAGAAACGAGACGGCCTGTCAGCTTCTGACCTCGTCCGGCCCCACCTCCCTGCCCGCGTAGAGCCGATAAAAAGACGGCGCGAGTCAAGCTGCCTTGACTTGACTTGACTTTGACTTGAATTCCTACTCGGTTTTGGCCGCTATCTTATCAGCAGCTATGCCCGGTAAGCGGGGTTTGGCTGACCGCCGAAGCGCTCGAACATTAATCCGAGGCGCCCCACTTCGCCGAAATGTCGAAACATTCGACCAGCTGTCCCCGAAATTCCCACTTCTGTTCCTTAACCTCATTCTACCCTTGTTTGCCACCTCGTGTAGATTGCGGTTCCTACTAATTCATGCTGCATTTTAGGCTCCCTCGGGGCGCGATGCCCCCTGTGCTGGTTCTGCGTACCTACAGTCTCCCCCCAGTGCTCAGCTTTGTCTCGCTTGGGGCTCGATCCTGAATTGCCCAAGGATCTCGGTTTGTTCCATGAATCTGATGGCTTTCGCGGCTGCTGTGCGCTTGTTCAGCAAGGCCCGGAGGTCGTTTCGTCCTGGAATAGATCCTAGCTCCTGGCGTCGGAGTTGTCGGAATCGGCGGCGTCGCAGCAGGACGTGCGACACCGTTTGTCGTCCTTCTCGGCAAGGGCAGGCGTCGTCCGTGATGTCCGGAACTCTTCGGCTGAAGAGGAACTTCCTTAATCCGATTTTCTCGGTGCGCATCTGCAGCAGGATGGCGCTCTGTCGCTTGATCAGCCCTTCATGGAGCTGCAGGATCTTCTTGGTTGGCTTCGGCGTGTATCGGAACGAGGTTCTGCCTCTCGTTTCTGATGTCCATTTTCTTTGCCATGCTTTGCTGGCTTCCTTGTGCGTCCATGTCTTGAGTGTCGATTGGAGGGAGTAGAGTTCCCACGGCTGCTCTACCGTTAAGCCAGTTTACCCATTTTTCTCGCCAGCCAATAGCTTCCTTCACTACTCTATCAGCGTCTTCATTGCCCTGGATTCCTGTGTATACCGATATCCACCAAATTTCTGTCGAGAGTCCTTGGCTGTTGAGTTCCTGTATTCTCTGGGCTATATCCTTGAGTAGGCATGCTCCTGATTTGCCTTTGGGTTTAGCCGATGATCTGATGGCTGCTTGGTTGTCGGTGTAGATGAGGATCTTGCTTCGGATGTTGCCTTTTGCTCTGTCTGCCAGGGCCATCCAAAGGGCCAGTATGATGCCTTGGAGCTCGCCGGCGTAGACTGTCGATGTCGTGTCTGCCCCCATGTCTACACTCGTGGTCTCACTAGTCGTTGTACAGACCGCTGCTGCTCCGATGCGGCCGTTGATTCCACTCCCGTCTGTGTAGATGTGGATCGCGCTGGGTTCATTTTGCTGCTTCCTCCGGGGTTCCTTCTGGGCTTTTTCCGTGCTCTCTTCGATATAGCCGCGGCCCCTGCCACCAGGGTGGGACGACAAAGGGCTCTATCTTTTCTTGCTGCTTGCCGTCGGGGCAGGGTCTTTGTTGTAGTTTCTGTTTGGTGGTTTCCCTGGGGCTTATTCTCTTCCTCGATGTGGTGGTTGGCTGTCGGCGATCCACCACGGGACCCAATTCTCCCAATCGTGACCAGGTTGTGTCTCCAAATTTGCTGTTCGACGGGGAGGAGGTGCATTTCGACGTCTAGTGCCGGGAACGACGTCGCCTTGAAGGCGCCGCTCATCACCCTTGCGGCCCTGGCTTGCAGTCTCTCTAGTCGTTGCAATGTTCTCTTGGTGTATGCTTTTCTGCCCCAGCCGGCGTTCGACCATGCTGAGCAGGCGTACATCATCTGTGGCACCGCCACTCCATTGTAGATTTTTCTCATATCGTTTGTTCCCACTCCCCACGCGGAGTTTCCTAGGGTGCTCATTGCCGTGATAGTTGTGGAGACTTTGCGTTCTGTTTCGTCAATGTGTGGCTTCCAGGTAAGAGTAGAGTCCATGGTGAGACCGAGATATTTGCATGCTGATTTGGGTGCGATTTCGCCCCAGCTACTTTGCAGTGGTTTGCTGATATCGATCCTAGTTCTCGCTCTCCTGAAGTGGGTGAGTTCACATGGCCCACCATG